CAGAGAATATGCATTGGCCTTTTCTGTTATATATAAGACGTATCTTTTGGCTAATTACTTCAGCCAGCTTATACTGATTATTAAAATAAAAATGGTTCAGATTGGAGAGAGCTCCAATCTGAACTTGCGATAACTGTCCTACTATTTAATGTATCTTTCTGTTTCTATTGTAACTTTTATATTTTAATACATAAAATAAATGGCCAAAATGGAAGTAATAGCGTAAAAAAAGTCTTTAGCAGTAAAGTAAGCAATATTCCACACTGGATGCTGGTAGTTTATTTTATCAGTTTTTGATGAAAAAGGCATAGATTAAGGTTTACATACAACTTTTAATGGTCACTAGTAGTGGTAGTTATAGTTTATTTTTTCTTCTGCAACTAATTTGTACACCTTCTATTTTGGAGAGCTCATCAGGAATTATCAGTAATTATTTATAGTTTACATTTTCCTTTCCTGTCAACCAGTTATGTAATAATTATTTGCCAAACCTCTATGTGAAATTGCTTCATCTAGAGTTTTGTCATTAATCATCTCTTAAATGGGAGCTTGCCTTGCGAGGAGCATCCGTATTTAGTTACTATCATATAAACAGCCATATTACTTTATGTGGGTGTCGGGGTGTGTTATTCTTTTCTTTTCCTTTTTTCTTTTGTTTTTTTTTGGGGGTGGGGGGATGGGGGGCTTGGGTATGAGGTGTAACTCATTTCTCTGAATGAGTTACCCATCTTTCATCTCTTGATAACTCGTCTGGTAAAATGGCTGCCAGCTATACCCATTTAGTAATGAGCTGCTAGCTAAATGAGCTGCTAAATGAGCTGCCAAGAACTGGACTATTGTTGAGGTCAATCTGATAGACACATGGGGGGAGTATGTTCACCTCACCACCCCTCTTTGTAGCTTGTTCTACAAAATTAGGTGGATTTTAACTACTCTATATGTATAGGTATTGTCATCCGAGGACCCATCAGCCAATTGATTGCCGAACAAGTCATATATAAATGTCTATGTGCGTTATTACGTGTGTGCACGCACGTGTGTCTACAGGCATATAAATATATTATGTAGCACACGCACACGCAGACTCGCTCTAGGATCATTGAGCTATAGACTCTCTCTCTCTCTCACACACACACACACACACACATATATATATATATATATATATATATATATATATATATATATATATAAAAACAACCTATTTCACACTTATTTTCAAAAACCGACCTGGTTTCAGCCTCAGCGCTGAAACCAGGTTGGTTTTTGTGAAAAAACTTCCAAGTCCCGTGAAATTTGAATGTTCAAAAAGTCCCGTGAAGTTTCAAAATTAAAAAAAAAATCACGAAACTTGAAGTCCCGTGAAGTTTGTGGCTCATTTTCCGAAAAAAAAATTCTATGAAAAAACGACCCTGCAACTCCACGGGACTTCAAGTCCCGTGGAGTTTCGCTCTGCCTATATAAGGCAGACGCGATCCGTGACTTGTCCCAGTGTCCCCTCTCCTAAAACCCTAGCCCCCTTCCTCCTCAAACCCACTCCCCTCACCCAAGCCCTTACCCCCTCTCCTCACTAGCGTCGCCACCGACCTCGACGTCGTCCCTACCGTTGGCCAATCACCGTCGTCGTCACCGCTGGAGTTCATCGGAATTAAAGCATCGTCAAGATTAAGGTAAAATTTTGAAAAAATTCTTTTTAATACACATTTTTTTATATATTCTCACAATTCTTAGTGATTACTTGTAAAAAATTAGATTTTAAAATAAATTTGGAATTATTTATGAATTTTGAGGAGAAAAATTAAATAATATTGTGTATGAAGTTCGAGGGGAAATTATCGACATTTGTAACCGTGAAGTTAGAGGGGAAATTAAGGTTTAACATTTGGTTAAAATTAGGGGTTTACTAATTATGGGTTTACTAATATCGATCTAATATCGATCTAATAGATTTACAATCTAAAATTATGGGTTTCTAATATTGATATTGAATTTTTTACTCTTCAGAGGTAACGATGAACAATCGAATCATAATTCTTTATTCATATGATGGAAAGATTAACTATCTTGAAAATAATATGCCCGTTTATGAAGGAGGTGTCACGAAGCCGTTGTTTATATCAAAACAGTTTACTTTTGATGAATTGGTTATTGATTTACATAAACTTACATTAACCAACTCACACGAGTATCACCTCAATATTATTTGTAATTATCCTGTTGAGGGGAACAGAGCAAGCGACATTCAAATCTCAAGTGACTATGATATGAGTCTCATTGGAGTGTTAGCGGACGAGAAGCGTTCAGTGAAATTATTTATTGAAAATTATCAGAGAAATTTAGGAAAAATCGATGAATTACGACGGAATATACTCCCGCATTTTGGAGGACCTTGAAGTTGTCTCCGTTGGATTTTTATCTCCGTAACAAGATGAAGGTTGGACATAGTCAGAATACGTGAGCGGTCCTTCGTTTGTGGGCACTTCTAATATCGATACTAATACGACCCATCTAGATAATAATGCAAGTGAGGATTGTGATGAAGATGATGGCTTACAAATTAATAGCATGACGTGTTTGATCGTGATGAAGGGGACAACCAACACATTAACAGATGTTATACTAATAACCAATATGTCGTGTTAGAGGATCCGTCGCCCGATGAACTTCATGGAGAAGAATGGATTGATAACTCCACGATTAAAAGTATTCCTATCGGTACTAATATCGTTGATGATATACAAGACGAGGACTTCTCATTCAAGAAGGGGAATCTATTTGAAAGTAAGGAGAAATTGGTCTATGCGCTTCGTTTGTGGGTCATTGAAAAAAATGTCAAGTTTAGGCCACCAAAAAATAACTCAACAAGCTATAATGTGGTTTGTTTTTATTACAAAGATGGAGAAGACGAGGATAATGGTGGACACCACGATGACAATGCGAAATATCCTTGGAAGCTTAATTCACGCTTGGGTGTAAGAGTAGACGGACAATTTAAAATCACGGTTTACAACGGACTCCACATATGTAGCAATTCTCGATTAGAGATGAATAACAAGCATGCGTCTGCATCTTTTATATATCGATTGATTTTACCTAATCTAAGGGATGATCTTGATCTAAAGATATTCGTTTTTTAGTGCATAAAGCGACCAAATTGGATGTATCATACAACAAGTGTTGGAATGTTAGGAGGAAGGCGGTGATAAAAATATTCGGGGATTGGGACAAATCTTATGAAATCTTATCACATTATCTTGAAGCACTCAAAAGAGAAAATCCGAAGACTGTCTATGAAGTATCATCAGACCCTGTTGATGGCGGAGAACGAAGATTCACCGGTGTATTTTGGACATTTGGCCCTTGTATTGAGGGTTTCAGATATTATCGTTCTCTTCTTAGTATTGATGACACCCACTTGTACGGTAAGTACAAAGACTTTTTGCTTGTTATAACCGGAGTTGACGCAGATGGCGGATTATTTTCTTTGGCATTTGCGGTGGTTGATGTTGAAAACACAGAGAATTAGGCGTGGTGTTCTGCATGCATTAAATATCATATCCCTAGTGTGGGGGCGCGGTCGATTACATTCATATCTGATAGGATGAAAGGAGTTCCAAGAGCACTCCAACAACATTTCCCGTCGTCACATAAACATCGTTATTGCTTGCGACATAT